GATAAAAGAAAAACATGTCACCCACTTTCTGAAGCTGGGTGATATGAACCTCAATCACAAGGATCTTGTAGACAGTGTCATGAGTGTTTCTTACTGACATACAGTTCTTTGCCCAGGCCCACTCATCAAACATAATGATGGACATTTTGGTAGAAAAAGTAATACTTAATTTTTTAATGTTTTCTTCACAATGTTCATCCTCTTATACATGTAAGACTGTGCTTGCAAGGATTGCAAAGATTACATTTTTGAAAGTCTGCTACCAAGAACTGATTATCAGAATATTTTAAAGACTGTTCACATTGAAAGCACTGGTGCTAACACCCAATTCTATTCTAGTTTTCCTATTTTAAGAGATGTCCTACCCACTGTTTCAACATGTTTCCTACATATGTCCTTGCTTTTAATTTTTATTCTTTCCACTCTAGTCCTACCAATTGCCCATAGGTCTTTGGCTTCAAAATAAAAGACTTGTCTGTCCTATTCCATACATAGAACTCCCTCTAAAAATATCTTCCTGGAACAATACATTCCCCCCCCCCCCCCGCAAAAGACATCCTCAAAACCTACCATTCCCATGAAGACTTTTGCTTAATCCATTAGGCCTCAATCTTAATCAAAATGAAACATGAAGTATATGTGACTGGAGTTTGCTCTCATTTATCCTATGTTACTTTTACCTTTCCTTTTTCTCCATTTGTGGATTTCTTCTCTGTCAAAATTTAGACTGAAGCTTCTAGGTGCATGGACTATTTTCTCTGTATGTTCACCAGAATCCTTTATTGCCTTTTACTTAGCATAACTTTATGTATAATTAGCTAAATATTAAAGGCAATAAGAAATGCTGTTAGTGAATTGCAAAGATGTGTTTTGGGACAATGGTAAGAGTGCCCAATGCACATTGATGCTTGATGCACAATGGGATCAATGTGCATTGGTGCCCATTATGCAATGAGCTCTTTGCCGGTTCTGCTATGTAGTAACATTAACAGCAGCCCTCTACAGAATTACCCAGTTCTAATTCCTGCATATGTAAGTCCACTTATGAAGATGAAACTTCCATACAGAATTCTGCCATCATTTATTAAACTGCTACAAATATATGTACACATATTTTATGGATAAGGGGCAAATCAGGTCCACTGTACTAATACATGGGTGATAATGATGAGAAAAAGCCACAACTGTAGATGTTAGGACTGGAGAGATAGTAAATGAACTCCCTCTGAAATTTTAAAATCATAACCAGAAATAAAATTTGAAAGACTTTACCTTTTCCCGAATAGATTCTCCAGGAATGAGCTGGGGTTCAATTGTAACAAACAGTGACAGAAAAGAGCCTTCACTTAGATTTCGAAAAGAATCATAGCCTCTTTCAATTCCCATATTTTTCCCTTTGCTATATCCAAGAAGAACTGGGGGAATATCTATCTTGAATGTACCTTCAATCTAGAAAAAGCAAAACAGATCAATATTCAAATCAATATTCATTTTGCCTGCCAAAACCAACAACAGCCAAAAACAACAAATATTTTGTTTTGTTGGTAATAAAACCAGCATGGGCAATGTGCAATCTTCCAGATGTTGTTGGACTGCAACTCCCAGCATCTCGTATTACTGGCTTCGTTGGCTAGGGCAGATGGGAGTTGACAGTTCAACAGCTTTTGGAATGCTAAACTTTGCTCAGCCTTGAATAAAAGGATTTTTAGTTTGAAACTATTTGCTGAAACATGTTCTAGAACCTGTACTTACTCTTCCTTGAAAATACACTGTTGTAAATGGAATCCGAACTGATCCAAGCCAGTGCTTCTCAGTGCGAGTGTGGACAGCACCAGTTTCCCTTTCACGATCATCCTAAATAGAAGTCACAAAATCTTGACAAGTATTTGCAAAAAGGACATGCCTAGTTTTCTTATCTCCCTGTAAACTCCCCTGCATACTCAGCCTGGGATTAAGGAATGACATTTAATTTATAAAAATATTTAACTACAAGTGACAAGACAACTTGACAGAATTCTCAGAATTTCATAGCAATGAACCACGGTTGTTAAAGTGGTGTCAAACCACATTATTTCTGCAGTGCGTCACCTACTGAGTTTCAGAGTGAGGGCACCTTTGGAGGAGATCTTCGGCAAATGACTATAGGATACAAATTAGGCACATGTGGGAGGAGGTGCTCTATTAGATACCAAAGTCCAATATCATTGGGGCAGAAGGATGTTTAATGGGTGTACTGTATCTTGAATACTATACTGTGTCTTGAAGGTGTTCCTAATTGTTTTAAATGAATGCTTTCATTGGAGAATTTGTTTTTTAACTTTTGTACTATATATTGTTCTAGTGACTTTAACTTAAATTGTAACCTACTTTTATTCCTATATTAGGAGAAAGAAGGAATATAAATTAAATTGCTTATTTTATATCCTGCTTTCTCCCAGTACTTTATAAATAAATGAAATAAAAGGCCCAAGCACTCTCTAGATCAGGGGTAGGCAACCTTTTTGAGCTGGGGGCCGGGCTGCTGTCCCTCAGACAATTGGGGGGCCGAAGCACCATAAATAAATAAATAAATAAATAAATGATTAAAAAATTAAAAAAAAATTAAAAAATATGCATGCATACTCTCAGCCCCAGAAAAGCCATGGCAAAACTCCTGGGGAGATTTTGCCAAGAAAACCCCAAGAACAAGTAATAACAATAATCAATATCATCACAGCGGTGGCGGCAGCAGCGGGGGGTGGCGGTGGCAGGACCAGCCTGGGGCCAGTCCAAAGGCCTTGGGGGGCCGCATCCGGCCCCCGGGCCTTAGGTTGCATACCCCTGCTCTAGATTTTAAAACCAGTGTCCTGAATTGGGTTTTGAGCAATGACAAGGATTTCTGTACTCAGTCTAAACAGGAAAATATTTTCTTTCAATCCCTGTATTGGATGCTACCAACAAAGGGTCTTTTTTAGAAAAGGTAAAACTATAGAACTATTTCCTCATTTTGCCTTAGCCCTTATATCTTTTACCTGGACCCCCATATAGACCAGTACTTAAATGTTCAGATTGTTGAGTGCAAGCAAGCCAAACTAAATCTACAACATATGGAATGAATTGGCTGGCAAATCCTGGAGGAAATTTTTGCTTTCAAAGTTGTACTGCAGTCTGAAGTGTCACTAGGGTAAACACATTTACTTCCATTACATGGATGTCAGCACCTTGACCACCTATGATACAATATAATGTTTTAGGAGCTTGGCTCACCTCCAGTACATCATACAATACTTCATCAAATATATTAATGAAGATGTCATCCTTTACTGATTGCAGGCTGGAAGTGCTGTAGTTACCATCAGGAGCTCTAGAACATTTAAAAAGAAAAACAGAAAAATATCTAATATAAATCATTGAACAACTTGTAGTCACACATATAAAATGTCAACTCATTTTCCACCCTCGCCCTCCTCTGCTTTCTCTTTTCTTTCATACATGTCAAATATGTCCCACAGATTTCCATAAACAACAGTTTGTAGCAATAGCTGTTAGGAAAGCTGGTGAGATGGGGCTGGGGCATGGCACAAGAGAAGCTCACCAGACTTGTCTCACACAATGGTTAATCAGAGTTCAAATATTCAATGGTTTTCCCCTTCACCTTCCTCCATCTCAAAAATGTCTTCCTGACCAGCCAACAGGAGCCAATCATTTAAATAAGGGAAAAAAAGAAAACTCAGTAAGGGATACTGTGGAGTGGCCTCGCATCATAAAGCTAGTGAGGAGTAGGAGTCAAGCCAGGGGTGAAAGCTCAGGGGAGAGGAATGGGACCCTCTCCTCAAACAAAAATTCACACATACACATATTATTAATATACATATTAATATACACATATATATTATACATATTAATATACACATATATATTATTCCACTTTAATTGCCAGGGTTCCACCCTACAGCATTCTGGGATTTGTACTCTACAGACCAATGAAGTTCTTTGGCTGAGAATTCTTCCAAAGTGGAATAATACCACTATACTTTCATAGTGTGGCAATAAGTGGTTCTCACTCTGTGCAATGCTAGAAATTTAAGGACTTTAGGAAAATAATGGGCAGTGAGAAATCTTGTTTTAGAGGACAATGCCCTTATTTTGTCCCCCCTGTAGCTCAGGTGAAGCTCCACCCCCACCTTAACAATGTTTCTGACTTCAATTCTTTTACTTAGTCCTGCACAAATTGAATACAAATGATTCAGGTTTGCAGGGATGAACAAAGACAAACTGTAATAGAGAATGATTTACACAGAGCAACCTAAATATTTTTCCCAATGTGCTTATCATCTTTCATACTTCAAGGCACAGTATTAAGCTCTTTAGTAAATGGAGCTGCACCTAAATGGAAGTTCAAGCTCTTCATTCCAGTTTGGATTTGGCCCTTCGGCGGTGGTTGTCCGACACACTGTTCTCTGAAAGGAAACTTCTACAAAAGGCCGGACTGAAACCTACGCATTGAACAAACAAAAGGTGCACTTTTTGTCAAAGCTCAGAGCAGTTATACTTAAAAATTAGTTAATGACACATATACATAAGTAGGTATAAGGCTGTGTAGCATTTCCATCTTTTGATCACACTGCATCTCCAGACTGCATGTATCCAAATGATTTACATGCATCTAAAAATCAAAGTGACCAAGGTAAAGACTCCTTAGCACCAAAAAATAGGCTAAATGACTATTGCTTTTTTTATGAAGAGCTGGGAGAAGATAATCCTGTTTCTGGCCTCAGTTTTTAACAAAGCAAAATCTGGCATAGTAGGAAAATTGCCTTTTCTCATCTTGAAGCTCTTTATCTTGAAACCAGATATACAGGAAATATCAGCAGATCTCTACAATGCTTCTTTTAAACGTTGTTGTTGTTGTTGTTGTGTTCCTTCAAGTTGTTTCTGACTTAAAGAGAGCCTCAGGTATCATGGGGTTTTCTGAGGCTGAGAGTGTGTGACTCACCCAAGGTTACCCAGTGTGTTTCTACAGCCAAGCAGGGAATTGAACCCTGGTCTCCAGAGTCGTAGGCCAATGCTCAAACCACTACACCACTCTGGCTCTTTTTTTAAACTACATTTTGAAAACAGCACTGAAGATTACTTTGTTGTTGTTGTTAACTGCCTTTGCTTCCATCTCGACTCATGGTGACCCTATGAATGAGATCTCTTCAGGCCCCTGTCCACTACTGCTCTGCCCAGCTCCTGCAAATTCATATTCATGGCCTCTTAATAAAGTTCATCCATTTGGCATGTGGCCTTCCTCTCTTTCTACTTCCCTCCACCTTTCCTAACATTATTGTCTTTTCCAACAATTCATGCCTTCTGATTATGTGTCCAAAGTATGACAGTAAGGGGCTATACAGACACCCCTAAGGGGTGACGTCCTGCCACCCCTTTCCTTACTAGATTGGGGCTGTGGCAACTGCATGCTGCAGCCCTGATCTGGTGATTTGCCACTCTAAAAAGAGCTGGCAAATGTTGCTCCTTTTTAGAGCAGCAAAAAGCTGCCCTTGCTGCCGCAGTGGTGTCTTTTCCCCGCTCCTTTGGCACAGCTTGTATGAATGCTGTGCCAAGGGAGCGCCCTGATGCCAACCACTGAGCAGTGGGGTGCACAGCTGATGGCAGCATCAGGGTGGAGTTGGGGCAGTGGGTACGCGGTCGCCACGCACAGATTCTACCCCCAGGCTGGCCCTTTTGTATTCTCCCTATTCTCTTCTGGCTTGATCTGTTCTAGGACCCATTTGTTTGTCTTTCCTCAGCATTCTTCTCCAGCACCACATCCCAAAGCAGTTGATCTTCCTCCTGTCTTCTCTCTTAACTGTCCAGCTCTCACATCCATACATGTTAATAGCGAATACAATGGCTTGTATGATTCTGACTTTTGTGCTGAGTTGTATGTCTTTGCATTTTAGGATCTTTTCGGGTTCTTTCATAGCCACCCTCCCCATTCTTAATCTTCTCCGGATTTCCTGGCTGCAGTCCCCATTCTGATCAATGTTTGATCCCAGATATGAGAACTCTTTTACTATTTCTATTTCCTCATTGTCTAGTTTGAATGTGTGTAAGTTCTCTGTGATCATTATTTTTGTTTTATTTATGTTCAAGTGCCTTTGCACTTTCTTCTTTGATCTTCCTTAGTACTTGTGCCAGGTCTGTGAGGTTCTCTGCTAGTATTATGCTGTTGACAGCATATCTTAGATTGTTGATATTTCTTCCTCCTATTTTCACTCTTCCATGTCCAAGTCTGTTTTCTTTATAATATGTCCTGCATATAAGTTGAACAGATAGAGTGATAGGATGCAGCCTTATCTGACCCCTTTGCCAACTGGGAACCACTCTGTGTTTTGTTCTGACAGTAGCCTCTTGTCCTGAGTACAGATTCCTCATCAGGGCTATCAGATGTGTTCAGAAGATTAGTACATATTTACAAATTGAAAGTACAAAGGAACAAATCTTTCTTATGCACTGTGTTAGGGATAGATTTAGAACTAGGTATTAATATTCTGCTGGTTTAATCATGTATACCACGTTCCTAGGAAAGGATGGTGTTTCCATTACTTTCAGGTTAGTATATAGAATATTGGCACATGTTCTAAACTGACTTATTGTTTACAGTACTGTTCTACATTTTATTGTGTTACAACCTGGAACTGAACTGCATTCAATTGGCATTGTTACCACTTGATGTGTAATTTTGTGAGATATTTAGCTTTCTGTATCATAGAGCTCTGATGGCAAAACAAACTACAAATTCCAGAATTCCACAGCATTGAGCCATGGTAGTTAAAGTGGTGTCCAATTGCATTATGTCTGCAGTGCAGACAAGACCTTTGCACATGTGGATCATCTGGAGCCTACATTTTTTTGTCTATTCTTTATGGCAAAAGACCAGGGATTTTTTTTTAAAACAAACCAACCCTGACAGGTGCTTCTGCACAATTCCCCCAAATTTGATAACTCCTTGGTATTCATGATGCTGTTTCTTTAGATGTACTCTCCAAGAAACACTGGAATCTTCCAAAAACAGACATTTTTAATCTGAGATTATATAGCACTGGAAATGCACACAGGTAGATATCTTTCAACAGTTTATGTGACTTCAGGAGGCAATGAATAGCATCAGAATTTATTTAGGTACATTATAGCAAAGGTGGTGAATACTTTTGCAACCAAAAAGTGCTAGTGGGTTTTTCCTTCCTGCCACAGTGACAATATATTCCACCTCTACAATATTCAGTATTTTGTGTATGTCACATGGTCAAAAGTCAATTAAATCCATTCCAGTTCCAGCATATAACACAACTGTCTGTAAAAGTCAAAGGGCTTGAATACGTCTGCAAGTCATTCTATATGTTGCAGTACATAAATGTATTTGTGACAAACCATAACATGTATTCTTCTTTATAAAAATATTAAACTTATAACAAATTAAAAATAAAATATTGCATTTTCCTGTACTGATATTTGAATTTCATATCTTTGAATTTATTATTATTATTATAATAAAATAATTAACCAAAATGAAAAACTTTCTAGGACAACAGAATGAGGGCATTCCCACTTACTTGGTTAAATGCCCAGTCCACACTCTGCGTTGGGCTCTGAGGAGTTGCAGAAGCAGCAAACATTTCATTGAAGGACCATGATGATTTAGATGGCTGCTGAAGTTTACTAGAAAAAAAATGTACAAAATGCCAGTAAGCTTTCATTATGACCATGAAAAAGCATCCACATGAAAAGAAGGTTTGATGTGTCACATTTTGCCAGAATTGTGAAATACCTTTGTGAGGTATTGTGGGATAGAAAATTTTTCAACTGTTATAGATTTCCATGGATTTTTTTTCATAAAATGCTTTGTTTTATAAAGTTACCATAATCAATATACTAAATTATAGTAAGAGTTAAAATGAAGCTGAAAAACTTGTAACGAATGCCCCTCCCACAACTCAAGGGAATTCCCAATTCCTGAGAAGCAGGCATGTATCTATAATGATAAAATAGTGTGTCCATTTGTCTGTGGCAGCCATAACTCTTGGAGACATCAAGCTAGACATCTAAAAATATGAAATAAAATTTTCAGGTGTCACCCAAGTTGCACTGCGAGGTTTCAAGTTTCATTTCTACATGGAGGGGCTTTGGGTACTAGAATCAGCAAAATGTAACTGTAACAGTAAATCCAAAAACTCTTGCAACTGAAAAGAAATTTAAGAAGCAATTTCTCCCCTGAAAAGCAACTCTTCAAAGACAGAGTAGTAGAAGAAGACAAGCAGCTTTCCTCAAAGGCATGAATTCCAAGTAAGTTGGAATGCCCTCATTCTGTGCTCCTAGAAAGTTTTTCATTTTGGTTAATTATTTTATTAGAAAATTAGAATAATTTAAAAAAAAGATAACCTAATTGGCAACAAGAGAGAGATCAGTGGGATCAGATAATTTTATTGCTGAATTTATTATTATTAATATCAATCACTCAACACAAAAATTGATTACACTGACTTTGCTGATGAAAGCAGGTTTTGTAAATTATGATGATGATAGAAGTTGGTTCTTTTTTAAAAAGTTACAGCTCTCAAGCACTTGGAGAACCTGGAAAGTATTTTCTAGTCTTATTGCAGCTGAGCATCCTTGCGGCAGGGGTTAGAACGACAGCATAGTGAGAGACAGAAAAACAAATACACATTGCTAAAGCACTTCTCAACTGAGCAAAAACTTTGTTGGATTGAAGTTGTTGGTATACAACAGCAAGTAAAATTGTATTAGTAATTTTATAATCAAATAAAAATAGCAGCATAACAATAGTGTTTAGTCGCCTGCCCTCAGGAAGTTAGAACAATCCTTACCTTACAGTCTTTTTGCTGGAATGCAAAGACTTCTTTATTTCAATAGATTTTTGAGAACTGAAGGTTTTTAATGAAAGAACTTTTAAAACTGCTTATTATCATTTTAACTATGGTCCAAAACACACTGCAGAAATAATCCAGTTTGAGACTGCTTTAGCTGTCCTGGCTCAATGCTAGGGAATTCTGGGAACTGTAGTTTTGTGAGATATTTAGCTTTCTTTGTCAAGAGACCTTTGGTGCCACAATAAATTACAATTCTCAGGATTCCCTAGCACTATGTCAGGGTAGTTAAAGCAGTCTCATACTGAAATATTTTTGCAGTATGCTCTGGACCTATGTTTTCAATTGTTTTAAAATGTAGTTGGTAGTTTGATTCCACTGTAATGTTGATACTTTCTATGGTTTAACAATGTTGTATTTCAGCAACATTTGACAATGTTGTATTTCAGTTGCAATGAGTCCCAGTTTTGGGGAAAAGGCAGGATGTAAATAAAGTCTTATAATACTATTTTCTTTATGTAACTAATTTATGTTCAAATAAAAAGATGACTAAAATTAGCAGAAATTACAAAGATATTGACAGCACCCTAAAAGGTTGTATTATAGTATCAGTATTTGCATATACTTTTTCATCAAGAGTATCCAATAGACTTATTAAAGTAATGTCAGGCAGGGGAATAGCTTTTTGCAGACAAGAATTAGCAGGGTCGGTTTTTTTGGTTTTGGTTTTGTAAACAACCTTATTGGCAGCAGTAGTGAGATCTCTGGGGCCAAGCTATACCCATCTTACATGCACATGAAATCCCTGCTGCCACAGTTGCTCAAAAGTAACAAAATTCACAGAACTCTACAGAGATAAGCTAAGGTGGTCCTCTTGCTCCAGTCACACACAATGCATGGTCCTGGATGGCAATGTGAATTTACATCTACATCATAGTTTGCATCCAGACAGTTTGATGGGATCAGCTATTTATCATAAAGGAATGATGGAGATGTGTGGACATTTATGTTTACACCAGCTGCGTAGATAGGTAAAAGCTTGCTTCAGTGTACAGATCTATCTTGCGGGTCAGGTGCCCACTCTACAGCAGGCTTGGAAGCCACCTTTATGCCCAGGACCATCCAAGCACCACAAAGGCTATCAAAAAACAAAACAACCACCAACCAACCCAAAGTAGCCAGAAGACCACCTCTGATCCTCACAAAGTTTTATGTTTGTTTT